AGCACCTGTGGCTAAAAGCTACTGCCAGAGCTCAGCTGAATCGAAATCTATGAGTTTACCAGGAGGCATTTTTAAAAAGATGTATAAGATTGTCATCACTCACTCTGCAAATAGTGATCTGATTCGCTGTTTTATGGCTGTTAAAAATACATTTTGAATGGATATTAACATGGCCAGTTATTTATTGGTTATCTTAACCTGACCGAATCAATGTTTGTTGTAATTCTGACTCTCTCTTAAGGAAAATTAAATGTTTTGGAACACCTCTGTATAATTTTTGTTCTGAGGTTAAAAATATACTTGAACCAGTAGGGGGCAGGCAAGAAACATACAGCTGTTTTTTCCTTTTGCACTTTAATATTTTCAGATTTGGTTGAAACGGTTTTCATTTTGTTATACAGTGAGTTACTTATATTATTTTATTATTATATATTATAATAAGGTTTAATATTCTTGTTGTCATTGATGAAGACAAGTTAATTTCATGCCCTGTGATTTCCGGTGTTATTTTAGTATCATCTATATAGTATATACTATTATAGTAATTATTGATATTTTGAACTAGCTTTGAATTTTTAATTCTCTTTTATTTTTTTTGTATTTTTTTTTTTAAGTAATTTTACAATGTTTTGATTTTTATTTTGCTTTTATTATTTATTATATTTAACCTTTTTTTAATTGTTTTGGTAATTTGTGTACTTCAGCTTAAAATTATTTTTAGTTAACTTTAAGTTTTTCTTATGACACTTTTATTTTATTTCTGCTTAATTTCAATTAAAGATTAAAATTATTATAGTTCTAGATAACAATAACAACACTGGTGATTTGTGGCTAAAGCTGCCATTGAAGATGTGCAAGAACACATCTTAAAGGGATAGTTTACCCCAAAAAAGAAAATTGTCTTCATTTAGGCATGTTGAGCAACTATGGTGAATTGTACTCATGTTGAATTACCCGTGTCGTGTTGTTCCAAACCTCTTTGACTAAATGATAGAAGAAGTAAAAGGTAACCAAATCTGTTTAGTCCCCAAAATTCTTTTAAATATCTTCTTTTGTGTTCCACAGAAGAAAATAAAGTCAAAAAGTTTCAAATGATATGGTGGACTACACCTTTAAAGCTTTGAGCCTCACACACTAATGATTTCTGCTGAGGTGTTGGTGTGATCCTTAGGGACTCTTGTGGTGGGGCCCAGGTGCGCTTTGTCATTGGCAGTAAAATTCTAAAGGTCTAAAAGGCCTGACCTCAGGTCTGCCAGCGTTTCTGTACCACCTCATTAAAACAGGCTGTTGCTGTGAGAAAGCATCTGGAGAGAATGGCACACATTTGCTTTGTCACTGGGGTGAGAGCTTACTGATAAGGAAGTATGCATGATTTGACACGATTTTGACATGATTTTTTGCTCCTTGACAGTCACACAGGGCTGCTGTAGATGTACATTTTGTATTTTGAGGATGGAAAAACAATGCAAAAGGATAGAGATGATAATGAATTCCAACTGCTTCCATTCAAATAATAATACATTGGTAGATTAAAATCGCATTTAGGCATTTGAGGTTTACTCCATGTATTTGACTTGCGACCTGTAAAGTAATTGTCAAGTAGGCTACATAGGCTACAGTTAGCTGCTTTGTCTGTCACAAATATCTGTACCACAGTAATGCACAGGAAAATGAATGAAAACACGTAACTTAAGTTTAAATTTAACATTTTATGCCTAATATTAAATTAGGCATATTTGTAATCTGGGCAGCAGTTTTTATTTAAGTGTATTAGGTTGCACTTTCATATTGAGGCCTGTTACTTACTGATAAGTCTGTTACAGATTAAATTAATATAATATATGACCTTCCGACATATGCTTGACGTTATATCTCGTAATTTTCTACAGTGTTTTTTCTAGTAGTAGAGCAATGTTCAAAATAGCGTGGCGCAAGAAACAGGATTGAAACAAGGTTTGAAATTTGCCTCGGCAATAATTAGTGAGGCTTTATCTGAAAAAATCGTATGTTTTATGCACAATTCAAAATGACTTAAAGGGACTTTGATCCAGTCTGGAAGTAGCGAGTGCAAAAACCTAACGTTATATATATTTTTTCCTTCATTCAATCTTTATTTTATCTTTAAAAGAAATAAATTAATAATTATGGGTCTGAAATATATTTCCACGATTATATAGTATGCTTACTGTAACTGCGTGATGTAATAGTAGCAATATGTAAACCTGCCTGTTCATGCTTTTTTTTTTTTAATGCTTTATTAATTCAATGCCACAAGAACATGAGGTATTACATATTCACACTATCAAATTAACATTATTAGCTGCCAGAGAAAAAAAAAGAAAAGAAAAAAAGGAGGAAAATTACATAAAGTTCAATGCTTTCAGAGCATTACATGTTTTCAATGCTTTTTTTTTGTTCTAAGAGATTTACATATGAAGTCATTTATAAAATGTGCAAAATTTTGGTTTTCCTAACAAAATAAACAAATGTATAATAAAAATAGCGTGGCGCAAGAAACAGGATTGAAACAAGGTTTGAAATTTGCCTCGGCAATAATTAGTGAGGCTTTATCTGAAAAAATCGTATGTTTTATGCACAATTCAAAATGCCTTAAAGGGACTTTGATCCAGTCTGGAAGTAGCGAGTGCAAAAACCTAACGTTATATATTTTTTTTCCTTCATTCAATCTTTATTTTATCTTTAAAAGAAATAAATTAATAATTATGGGTCTGAAATATATTTCCACGATTATATAGTATGCTTACTGTAACTGCGTGATGTAATAGTAGCAATATGTAAACCTGTTGCTTCATGCTTTTTTTTTTTTAATGCTTTATTAATTCAATGCCACAAGAACATGAGGTATTACATATTCACACTATCAAATTAACATTATTAGCTGCCAGAGAAAAAAAAAGAAAAGAAAAAAAGGAGGAAAATTACATAAAGTTCAATGCTTTCAGAGCATTACATGTTTTCAATGCTTTTTTTTTGTTCTAAGAGATTTACATATGAAGTCATTTATAAAATGTGCAAAATTTTGGTTTTCCTAACAAAATAAACAAATGTATAATATGTTGTTCTTTACAATTCAAATTTTCGTTTTATGTATAAAGTACATCAAATATACAAATTTCTATCATACACTCCATTTTTCTGTTAATATAGAATTCCAAATCCTTCCAAAATAATCTCGAGTAAATGCAATGGAAAAAAATATGCAAAATAGTTTATTTTTCTTGACCACAAAAATCACAGGTATACGAAATATTAAGCTCTGTTGCTTTTTGCTATTTCACATGGGACAACAAACCATGCGTCACTGCCCTACGCCATCATGTAGGCGTGGTTTGTTGCGAAAGAGGGCGGTGCCAGTGTGAGTGACACATAAGCGATCAAATCAAAGGTCGCACTGTTGCAGCGCTGGAGATATTTGTTTATAGTGGAGCGCTTTCTTAAATTGGAGCCGTTTGTCGCAGTCACACGTTCACTCGGAGGTGCTGGAAACGGGACTTGGTGATCATGTGGACCTCAGCAGCTTTCGCTCGGAGTTAACGCTCACATATCTGGGAAGATGTGGTCAGCAAACTTCAAACATCAGCCGATAAATTACTACAGAGAAAACAAACCAAGGGACGAATATCAGAATACGTGACAGGGTATTGTTTGAGGATGGAAAGGAGCGCATCGGAGCGGACCGCGCTGCGGCTGTTTGGGGACAGCGGCATGATGCTTCTGCCCTGGACTAAACAGATCCTGACGGTGCTGTGGGAGCACCTGCGACTGCTGGTCCAGGTCATCTGCTGCACTTTGATTTCGGGTAATTCTGGTTTTACTCATTCATATATTTGCATTGAAATGTTTTGCTGTCCGTAGCCTATGCCATTGCCGATTTACATAATCTTATTATTATTTACAGTATAGATGCACTTATCTAACGTTATAATTATGATGTAGATCACTGTATAGATGTATTATTCTTATAGATTGCAAGTGCAAACTAAAAAAATGTCAAATGAAAAAGTGCAAAAAAAGTGCTGTTGGTCAATTCATTTGCATTTGTACACTTTCGATACAAGATTTGCATATTTATTCATTTACATTCATCCGAAACGAAACGAAACGTATTTTCTTTAGTGGAGAGTGACATAAAAGTAGAAAGAAAACAACATTAATAGTGATGCAATACTGTTAAAGGGACTTTGATCCAGTCTGGAAGTAGCGAGTGCAAAAACCTAACGTTATATATTTTTTTTCCTTCATTCAATCTTTATTTTATCTTTAAAAGAAATAAATTAATAATTATGGGTCTGAAATATATTTCCACGATTATATAGTATGCTTACTGTAACTGCGTGATGTAATAGTAGCAATATGTAAACCTGTTGCTTCATGCTTTTTTTTTTTTAATGCTTTATTAATTCAATGCCACAAGAACATGAGGTATTACATATTCACACTATCAAATTAACATTATTAGCTGCCAGAGAAAAAAAAAGAAAAGAAAAAAAGGAGGAAAATTACATAAAGTTCAATGCTTTCAGAGCATTACATGTTTTCAATGCTTTTTTTTTGTTCTAAGAGATTTACATATGAAGTCATTTATAAAATGTGCAAAATTTTGGTTTTCCTAACAAAATAAACAAATGTATAATATGTTGTTCTTTACAATTCAAATTTTCGTTTTATGTATAAAGTACATCAAATATACAAATTTCTATCATACACTCCATTTTTCTGTTAATATAGAATTCCAAATCCTTCCAAAATAATCTCGAGTAAATGCAATGGAAAAAAATATGCAAAATAGTTTATTTTTCTTGACCACAAAAATCACAGGTATACGAAATATTAAGCTCTGTTGCTTTTTGCTATTTCACATGGGACAACAAACCATGCGTCACTGGACTACGCCATCATGTGGGCGTGGTTTGTTGCGAAAGAGGGCGGTGCCAGTGTGAGTGACACATAAGCGATCAAATCAAAGGTCGCACTGTTGCAGCGCTGGAGATATTTGTTTATAGTGGAGCGCTTTCTTAAATTGGAGCCGTTTGTCGCAGTCACACGTTCACTCGGAGGTGCTGGAAACGGGACTTGGTGATCATGTGGACCTCAGCAGCTTTCGCTCGGAGTTAACGCTCACATATCTGCGAAGATGTGGTTAGCAAACTTCAAAAATCAGCCGATAAATTACGACAGAGAAAACAAACCAAGGGACGAATATCAGAATACGTGACAGGGTATTGTTTGAGGATGGAAAGGAGCGCATCGGAGCGGACCGCGCTGCGGCTGTTTGGGGACAGCGGCATGATGCTTCTGCCCTGGACTAAACAGATCCTGACGGTGCTGTGGGAGCACCTGCGACTGCTGGTCCAGGTCATCTGCTGCACTTTGATTTCGGGTAATTCTGGTTTTACTCATTCATATATTTGCATTGAAATGTTTTGCTGTCCGTAGCCTATGCCATTGCCGATTTACATAATCTTATTATTATTTACAGTATAGATGCACTTATCTAACGTTATAATTATGATGTAGATCACTGTATAGATGTATTATTCTTATAGATTGCAAGTGCAAACTAAAAAAATGTCAAATGAAAAAGTGCAAAAAAAGTGCTGTTGGTCAATTCATTTGCATTTGTACACTTTCGATACAAGATTTGCATATTTATTCATTTACATTCATCCGAAACGAAACGAAACGTATTTTCTTTAGTGGAGAGTGACATAAAAGTAGAAAGAAAACAACATTAATAGTGATGCAATACTGCATTTTAAACCAAATAACTCAGGGTTGCAGTGTTTTTGTTTATTATAATATAATTATGAATATTTATAATTATGAGTATTTATTAAATTTTACCTGGCTAATTTATTTATATTATGTTTCTACTATCATTTTTATTATTAATATTTAATTTTATTATTCATTAAACTATTAGTAGTAGTAGTAGTATTATACACTCATACATATATACATATTATTATTATTATTATTATTATTATTTATTTATTTTATAATGAGAAGGGACAAAAACGTTCCATTAAATATTATGGATAATATGGATTGTATTTTTCTATCAGTATTTTAACATTTTATTCTTGATTAAAAACACATATCCATCCATCCATCAATTTCTATTATTAATTATGAGAAAGGCCTCTATTTATGGCCTAAGGGAATTTTAGTAACTCTTTGTTTGGTCCCCAGTTTTCCAGATGTTCAGGTTTGAAGTCCATCTGAGAATTACAGACGAGACAGGACAACACATTCAGCACATGACAAGTGGGTCAGGAGACCCTTCTGACAGTTTCCTGCTCTCATCCTTGTTTGAAAACAACAAAAACATGGTGGTCGGGGGTTCCAGTCCACTTTCAAAATTCGGCAGGGACCCATTCGATGTGAGCTCTCACTCCAGAGCTGTCCTGTCCAGTCTGGTCAGCGATGAACTCTGTTGCTCCTTGGTGGACGACCTTGTGTCCCACGCAACAGAGTGTCTCAATGACACTGAAGACCTCTATATTGGAGATCACTCCATGTGGAAACATGGATACGACTGGACCATATTAGGAGGATCAGAGAGGAAATGCGGAGAGAACACCTGCACGTTTACTGCACATGTGTCTGGGTTTTCTGCAAAGGAGTTTGTAAAGCATCAGAAGCCCATCGGTGATCCTGATTCATGTAGATCATCTACAGAGGAGGTTCAAGCTCCATGTCAAGTGCAGTCAGTCGGTCAATTCTCAGACAGCGAGTTCAGCTGGGGAAGCACAGACAGCTCTTGTTTTGAAGGAGAACGAGAGGAGAATGACAAACTCTGGGACCTTCTGACCAGCTCGACTGATCCATATCACCCTCTACACTTCACGGCATGTTTGTCCAGTGCGATTCCTGAAAAAAGCAAAACGCAGGTGGTTTTGAAGGCTGAAAGTCCCACTGTATCACAATCCACTGCATCTACAGGCTCCGATTCTTCCAAACCAGGTTCTGAAGATGAAGAAGAAGAGGCCTTATGGAGATCCCTCTCTCAGAATCATGACCCATATCACCCACTGAATTTCAGAGCCCCTCTTCAAAGCTCACCAGCTACATCAGTACCTTCAAAACATGATTCGCCCAGTGACAACACACAAAATAAAACCGATAGACTCTTAAAATCTTCAAGACGCTCAAAGCCGCAGTTGCCATCAAGTAAAGTTGCTCGCCATTGCTGCCACAAATTACCAGTTGAGACATTATCAGTGGTGCCATGGATAAGACCTGTTGGTCTGACTGCTCTTCAGGGCAACCAAAGGAAATGTCCCAATTTTAAGAAGGTAATTATCAGTTTTAAAGGAATAGTTCACCTAAAAATTAAAATTTTGTCATTTAATTACCCTCATGTCATTCTTTCTGATGTTGAACAAAAAAAAGATATTTTGAAGAATTTTGATAATATTTGACAATATCTTCTTTTATGTTCAACATAAGAAAGAAACTCATACAGGTTTGAAACGACATGAGGGTGAGTAAATGATGACAAAAATGTTTCATTTTTGTGAGAACAATCTATTTAAGGTGTGGTCACTGTTGTTTAGCGAATTTTCGCGATTGGGAATTTCGATTTCTCCACACAGATTTCGCAACCGGTTCAAGTTGCTCACTCAAACTTGCCAAGCTGACCAACAGAAAGCTGCTTGGTTTAAAAGTGATTTTTGTGTGAGCTGTGCTTCATACATCACACCACTATTGACCATTTTGCCTGCAAAAGTTTGCCAAAAATGAGCTAATCTGACCGCACCTTTATGGCGCTTATGTCAGCTGTCAATCATTGCTTGCTAACAGCATGTTGCTAATGTTTTCCAGGTGAAATTCTCTCCTATCGTACAAGTCCACAAGATGCAAGCTTGGTCCTTTGCTTTTCAAGCATCTCGTAAGGGACCGTGGGAGGTGTTTGCACGGGACAGAGACCGTTTCCGAAAGAGAATCTGTGAAACTGAGAAGGCCATTGGCTACTGTTTTAGTTTGTCACACAGGGAAAAGCTGTGGGCCTATAAGGACAGAGTACAGAAGAAGTAACCAGCCCTTGATTGGCAAAAATTGGTTTCTGATGGTAATGATTGGTCTTATAGTTCCCAGGCCAGCCTCTAGACTGCTATATTGACTTAAATTGACATTTATACCTCACTGCTGTGTCCCAACACACATTGTACCTTGACTGCTACTGAATGTTACTACTGCTGTTGCTACTGATTTGTTTTTTGTTTTTTTGCTATGCCTTACAGACTCTTCAGTGTGACTGATCACACACATTATTATTTAACACAAATTGTTGATATGTTGGAGTACTAGACTAGTGTTATTTTATTTAAAGAGATAGTTCACCTAAAAATGAATATTCTGCCAACATTTACCCTCATGCCATTGCCAATTCCAAAACTTTATTATCTTTTCATGTGAAACACAAAATAAGACTTTTTGAAAAATGGCATGGTGTTTTTTCTTATACAATGAAAGTCAGAGGGTCCAGTGTTGTTTTGGAACCCACTGACTTTTATTGTATGGACAAAATAGTTCAGTAAAAATAGTTTTTAAAAGTTCAGTAATAATTCTTCAAAACAAAAAATAGTTCAGTAATAATTCTTCAAAATATCACAAATATGTATTTCACAAAAGAAAGAAAGTCACACAGGTTTGGAATGACGTGAGGAAGAGTAAAAGATAACAATTTTCATTTTTGGGTAAATTATACCTTGTTTATTCCAATGGTTTTAAATGGTGTGAAAATAGGCTGCTTTTTTTTATTATTCATTATGTTGACGAAAATGCAAAAAAAAAAAAAAAAAAAAAGATATAAGACCAAGTTACAATGCACCTCAATGTTTACATTTTTCTATATATAGATATATATATATATATTTGTTCAAATACACTACTGTTAAAAAGTTTGCAGTCAGTAAGATTTTTCATAATATTATACTTTTAAATACTTTTATTCAGCAAGGACACATTCAAACGCATCACAGTTTCTTCAAAATTGTTAAGAAGCACAATTTTCAACAATTATAATATTAAGAAATGTTTCTTGAGTATATAATATTTCACAATATTACTGTTTAACTGAATTTTGACCAAATAAAGGCAGCCTTATTGAGCATAAAAAACTTCTTTTAAAAACATTTAAAAATCTTACAGACCCCAAACTTTTGAGCAGTGGTGAATATGTAAATTACATCCTAAACCATATGTCCTACAAAAACAGATGCTAATATATAAGATGTTTGCTACATTTGACTACACTGATCATTGCCGTTTTTACGTGAGAATAAATTAAATGACAGCAAGTTTTTTTTGTTGCTTTTTTTTCTGTTTTATACATTATTACTCTTCAAATGTTCTATTATCACATCCTGCATTTGTTGAATGTACAGTTGTTTCCTTGCACACTTGTGTCCTGGCTCATTTGTTATGGTTCATCTTACTAGTTCACTGTCTCAGACTCTGACTGTAGAGGTGCAGAACTCCTGCGAGACCGTCATGTGCAGCCCCTGTAAGAGAGGGTTAAAAAACAAAGCGTGATGAAACTTTCTCTCATGAGGAGAAATCAATTAGCATCTCCCCTCCACACATCAGCTGCAACACAAGCTTGCATGGTGCAAAGACAAGCAATCGTTTACGCAATCTTTCATGCCGTGACAACAGACTGCGGGTCTAATTTAATGATGCTTTGTCCTTGAGTTAATTAGATTGCATTTCAGACACATTTATTGATAACGCAAAGGTGGACACATGTTATTATGAAAGTGTTTAACACTATATTAGCAATAGCTGACTGGTTGTACTTTATTTTGCTTGTTGAAACGGTTCTGGTTTGAAAGCAACAGATCTGAGAGCAGTTTGAGGAAGGGTTGGTAGCTGGAAGCATGATGGTAGTTGTATGTGGCGCTGCTATGGTGTCTTCCTCTTCTAAGGTGCCTTTACCCAGGTGACCTTGGTCTCTAGGCAACCAAGCACAGCACTATTTTGCAATGAGAGGATTGCATATGATTGCAGCAGGGGCTGGTGTGTTGTGGGAGGGCAGCCAGCATGGCCCCAGCCTCTATTACTCATCCTGGAGAGTCCAAAGCTTGAGAAGGGGGATCTCTGGAGTCACAATTACAAAGCACTGACTGCCTGATGCAATAGAGCAGTCAGCAGCCAGTGTGTGAGACAAAAAAAAAGTAGTCAGACACATCTCATGTTGCAGAGACAAAATCGTGCTGGATTGGTTATTATAGTCATTTTTAAATAGTTCTGAATGTCAAGTGCACGGTCTGTGTACATTAAGTGGTTAAAAACATGAATCATTAAAAATGGTGATGTTTCCCTTTCTGATATGTAAAAATATTTGAATATTCAAATTAGATGCAGCAGCTTCACAGTGTCATTTTGTAAACTCAGTACTTAGTTGAAGCACCTTTACAGCCTCAAGTCTTTTAGGGATATGATGCAACAAGCTTTGCACATGTACATTTGGCAATTATCTGCCATTCTTCTCCTCACCTCTTCACCTCTCACGCTCTGTCAGCTTGGATGGGGGCAGATGGACATTTTCAGGTTTCTCCAGAAATATTTGATGGGTTTAAGCCTAGGCTGTGATTGGACCACTCAAGGACATTCACGGAGTGGTCATTATCCTTTTGGAAGGTGAACCTTCTGCCATGAGGTTCTGAATGCTCTGGACTGGGTTTTCATTAAGGCTATCTCAATATTTTGGTGCGTTGAGCTTTCCTTCTCTTACGAGTCCCTCAGTCCCTGCCGCTGAAAAACAGCCCCACAGCATGAGGATGCTACAAGCACACTTTACTTTTGGGATGGTACTCTAGAGGTGATGAGCAGTGCCTGGTTTCCTTCAAACATGATGCTTGAATTGAGGCATTTCTCACAATCTGCGAGTCCTTTAGTTGCTTTGTTGCAAAAAAAACCAGGGCCCTTCTCCATCAATTGCTCAGTTTGGCCAGGAGGCCAGCTGTAGGAAGAGTACTAGTTGTTCCAAACTTGTTCCATTATGGATAATTGAGGCTACATATTTCTGTGAACCTTCAATTCAGCAGAATTTGTTTCTGAAATCTTCCCCAGATCTGTGGCTTGACACAATCCTGTTTCTGAGCACTACAGGCAGTTCTTTTGACCTCAGGGCTTGGAGTTTGCTCTGATATGAATTTTCAGCTGTTAGACCTTTTATTGAGAGGTATGTGCCTTTCTAAATCATACCCATTCAATTGAATTTGCCACAGGTTAACTCCACTCGAAGAGTAGTAACATCTACAAGTGATATGAATGCTCCTGAGCAAAATTTCAAGTGTCCCAGAAAAGGGTTTTAATAGGGTTTGAATCTTTATTTTGCTGCACATCAATAAAATCACACTGCAATCTAAATCAAACCAGATTGCTAAAAGCTATACTTATACCAGAGAATGTTAGTGAGCCTGAATACATTTCTTGAAATTAGGCTAGTTTTTGGAACAGCAGCTCTCTGTATGTTAACACATGCGGTTACATGAACTCATGTGTCACGAATGAAGTAGGCCTAACCACAGCAGAAACCTTTGATATCAAACACAGAGACAGATCTCTCTAACAATGGTTAGCTGTATGCGCTGCATGGCAACCATCACAAGGCGGCACCATTGAGCATGTTTTGTATCCATCTTACATTATATCCAGTACTAACCCTATGGTACAGACCACTGCTTGGCTGTAACACATTTATATGCTATATATTTTTTTCATAATCTGAATAAAAATATGAAACTACCAAAAATACAACCAGAAATCTCAAGAAAGTTTTTTTTTTTTTTTGCGTTGAAAAGGCGCGCGAGCGAAACCGATCAGGATGCGCACTGAGAGAGTCAGACGAGAACAGAGGTGTTTGAGATAAGAGCACTTTTACCTTAAATTATTTCAATAACTTATGAAAAGTTATATAGGCTATATAAATATTATAGAGTCCTGTCATAGGTGTGTAGGTTTCATATATGTAAGGCGGATTTAAATTTGAACTAAACTATTTATGTCTAACAAAGATGTTTAAGACGAATGATGTACGTGCCAAAAATATTACCAGATTGGAAATGGCAACGAGGTTGTTAAAACGTCAACGTACGAACGTTTCTTGCGTTGGAAAAACATGCAATATTTTCAAAATGCATTAACAAGCTGTTATGAAAATGCAGTGGCGGCTCGTGGGTTTTAAAATAGAGGAGGCACACTAATTGTATTGGTCTGGGGATCCCTGCCGATTATTATTATTATTATTTGCTTAACGGGGTCATATGATGCAATTTAAATTTTTCCTTTCTCTTTGGAGTGTTACAAGCTCTTGGTGCATAAAGAAGATCTGTAAAGTTGCAAAGACTAAAGTCTCAAATCCAAAGAGATATTCTTTATAAAAGTTAAGAGTCAGCCACACCTACCTAAAACGGCTCGTTCTAACACGCCCCCACATACCTACGTCACTATGTGGGAAGATTTGCATAACGCCACCCAAATGTTCACGCAAAGAAAGAAGGCATAACTTTTATTCTCACTGAAGTATTGTTGCCGCTTTCCGCCATGTCCTGAAGACGCTGTGTGCTTCGTTGTGAAAGCGAAACTACTTTATTTGGTCTTCCAAAAGAGGATGATATCCACTTCGTCATGCCAAGAGCTGATCTGTGCTGGTCGCTGAGGAAATACATCAACTGCACGCTGTGGATCGCCGGATCGGCTTTCACCATGGACAAAGCGGAGTCCAGCCCG